CCGCTCGCCGGAGAAGACGAACCAGAGACCGACCGCCGCCACCCGCCGCCGCACCGGGGAAATTTCCGACCGCCGATCGAGGTAAATTTCATACCCCCGACTCGTTTTTCCCCACTGATTCCTCCTATGGCCAAATCGAAGCCGAAATCCCGGCCAAACGGCCGGAATACGCGGCCGAAGCCCAGCGGCGCCGCCGCGCCCCCTCTCGGTTTTTGCCTCCGACGAGGCCCTTCCCGGCCTCCGTTCGATGCAATTTTTATATCACCGTGATCACCATTCTTTTCTCTACAGGTTGACCGGAGCCGAATCACCAAAACACGAACCTCGCCGGAGAGCCGCTGCACCCGAGAGCGCCGCCACCAGTAAGCTCCGTTTTTCCGTGATTTTTTGGCCCCCCGAGGGCCCTAGGGTTGTTTTCTGACAAGGACCAATGCGAGTGTGGCCGAATTCGGCCGAAAACGGCCGAAAACAGTCAACCCGAGGTGACTCGCCGCCGCCAGCGGCGGCGCCGTCGCCGGAGCACGGCGGAGCCGCCGTGCCGGAGTTGCGATTTGGGCCGAAAGAGGCCCTGGGCCTAATTTGGATTTTTTTTGAAACACGTGCAGGTACTGTTAGTGTGTTTCAGTTCCCCGGGAAAAATTCAGGAAAAATTAGGGACAGCCTGCAGGCGCACTGTGAATCGTATTCGGATCTCGAAAACAAGTAAGGACCCCTCACCCTATTTCCTATCACGGTATTAAAGTTCAAAATGATAAAACGGTATTTCTTGAATTAACGCATGTGTGAAATTGCTTAAGGTTGCTAATGGAGCCCGAGTCTAGTGTGATTGGTGATTTACTGTTATTTGGCCTGTTTACAGCTTTAAATGCAAAATGAGGTTTGATGTGTTCATTTTACAGATTTGTGTGCATATACTACGTTTTTATTAATTATGGGTTGAATGACTGAAAAACTGATATTGTATGTTGTCTGTTGGTATGAATTACGATTTGCTTGTTTAAATGTGAATTGATGATGTTGATTGAGGAAAAGGAAAATGAAAGATTGTATAGACTGATAATTGTATTATGGGGGTCAGCCTGACTAGATATCCTGGGAGATGGTGGACGGACCGGGTCCGTAGGGAACCCTACCGGGATTGTGGTCTCACATGCCGGACGGGGTATGGAGATCTTATGGTTTTGGCGCCCATACCGGACGGGGTATGGGGACGGCCCGTTTCACCCTCATACCGGACGGGGTATTGAGGTTTATGGTTTTGGCGCCCATACCGGACGGGGTATGGGGACGGCCCGTTTCACCCTCATACCGGACGGGGTATTGAGGTTCATGGTTTTGGCGCCCATACCGGACGGGGTATGGGGACGGCCCTGGAAACTGATTATGAATGTTAAAGGTTAACGGGTAGCGGAACCCCTATGGACCCCCACGGATACTAGTAGGCTGGTAAATGAGAAAAAAAGATATGTTGTACAATGATTGTATTACAAGAGGTGTGATAAGTGTTATGTTTTACAGTTTAGATTATTCAATGATTATGATAATGTTATTGTTTTCTCATATTGTTTTCATAAATTCTACCAAGGTAAGTGGATGGTAAAAGTTTAATATTGATAAAAGGTTTTGTTGTAAATTATGCTCCATTG